CAGCAGCTTTCCCAAAGGACCGGCAGGAGGGACGGCGGCGGTGCTGGAGGGAGGCAAAACCAGCACAGCCCTGCCTCACCTGCTCAGCCCCCTGCGCTCTCTGCTCGCTTTCATCGACGGAGAACTGAAACAGGGGAGCCCAAACCATCTTTGCTTCAAGTTGAAAAGCAAATCCGTGGCCGGCCAGAGCCCTGCAGCCATCCCTCCTCGGCCAGGGCTCTCTGCAGGGCTGGAGCAGGCAGGCGCCCGCGGCAAGAGCTGCCGGCCCAGAGCACCTATTTGAGCTGTCGAACCAAGAAGAAGGGATGGAGGCTCACTCAGTGGTAGTTGTTGATAAACAGAGAAGATTAATTTAACACAGAGGTTAAATATAACCAGTGGAAAGGAGGAAAAAAAAAGGAAGAAATAAAATAACTCAAACAATAGCGAATTAGAAGAGGTGTCAGTTGGGGTTTTTCCATCTACAGAACATTTTTCTCGAGTCAAAAAATCTCAGGCTCTGGAATTTTGTTGGCTCTCTGTGTGTTTTGGGCTCTTTTTCTTCATCAGAGTCATTAGAAAGATGATATTTACCATTACATATCACACAAAATGATGATTGATAGAAACCAGATGCCTGCATACCGATCTCATTAAATTTCTTTTTAAGCGATTCCATTCTGTACCCGCTAATTTGTACTCTGCGAGCTACATCTGGACCCAACGGACAGGATGTCAGGATTGCTTTTCCTCTCTCTTTTGCCCTTTTAACAACTTTAAGGACAGAACCGTTCCCAGTAGCAGAGCCAAAGGAAATAATTAAGGTGCAAAACCACTGCAGTCACTGGAAACCTGTTTTCTGTTCAGGAGGAGAGACGCCATTTCTCCTCCCATCTCCCCCATCTTCCTCCCTCTCCCCGGACCCCGCAGAGCAAACCCCGCACGGAGGAAATCTTCAAGCCCCGCCGTCTCCTTCCTTTCCCAGCTGGGAAGAGGAAGGAAGCTGCTCACTTGGTCCCCCTGAGCACCGAAACCCTTGAGCTCCACTTACCCCGTTTGCAAACTGTGAGGGAAAAAAACGCTAGCGAGCCCTCGAAGGTGCTGGGAGGCTTCAGCTGAACCCCCAGCCAGCACTTGTAGACTTTTTTTGCTAGATTTTTCCTACCAATGCTTTCATGTTTTCTCTCGCCTCGTCCCTCTACGTGGGAGAAACTCTCTAACGCAGCCTGGAGTCTCTCCGCGTCCCTTCTCAAACCTCCCCTTCCAACTCCTTTCTGCTCGGGTGCCCACAAAGCAGCTGATAATGGGTAGGCAGGTGGTGTGTGGTGCTGCTATTTATTATGCTGAGGGCTGTCTCACCGCTTCGCCTGCACGTTGCCCCTGCTCCTCCCAGCCACCTGTAGCCTATCGTCCTATTTTCAGGCTGGGGCAGGGGTGCTGGGTGCTGCCTGTGTTTACAGCTCCCAGCCCAAGGTGAGAAAGGTCTCAGCCACGTCAATGCCACCGCCCAGCGAGACAGAAAAGGGCAAAACTAATTGGAGTAAGAACAGGATGGTGCCTGCTTGCCCCCGCAGCACAGCTCTGCCCGTGTCCTCCCTCCGAGGGCTCGCGGACCGGGGGAGATGGTGGTGGGCAGCATCTCCAGCTCCGGCGCGGGAGGGCTGGAGGGGAAAGGGCCAAGCCCCCGGTGCACACACTGATGCTAAATTCAACAACTTCTACAGCTGAGGGAGAAGAGGTGTAGCTGGCCTTCCTCCAGGTGAAGCCCACGTCCCACTGCAAAGCCTTGGGAGCAGACTCCAGCACAACGCCGAGCCGTGCTCGGAGGCCGTGACGGCCCAGGCACCGCAGAGCCCCAGGGCAGGGGGACCAGCACACCCCAGTCAGCGTCCTGGGAGAGGACCCAGCAGCACGGATGCAGCCAAATATATTTGGGCACGAGCTAGCAACCCCCGGGGACATGTCCTGCTCTCTCGTGCGTGCACAACTCGCACCTCCAAGTCCTTGCTGCTGTTGTCTTCCCCTACCACATATTAGATTCAGCCCAAAGCCTCTTGGCCACGTAGATGAACCTTTAGGCTAGGGGTAAGGACAGCTTTCGTCAGATAAATGAATTAACAGCACCAAAGTGGCCTTCCCACACGCCTCCGGTTTCCTACAGCCCTTGCAATCCGCTTCACTCAGTGCCTTCATCCACAGCGTCATCCTCATCCTCCACACGCGTGTCCCTGCCCCTCTCCACTGCCAAACCGCTGTCCCTGCCCGCGTCCCTGCCCGCTGGGTGCAAGCAGCATGCAGGGACGGCCACCTCCACCCCACCACCAGCATCTGCCCCAGCACCGGGCACCCTTCCTACAGCTCTGCCAAGCGGGTCAGCGTGGCCCAGCATGGTCCGTGGGTATTAGGAAACGATGCTAAAACATGATTCTTGCCCCTAAGGCAGATGCACGGTGAGGATGGAGCTTGCTGGAGCCCGGCTGCGTGTCCCCGACCCCCAG